CAAGAAAAGAACAGGGTATGTATTAAAAAAAATTTTTGGGCGCGGAAAAGTAACTTTTTTATTCAAAATGAAAATTATTTAAATTTTTTTTTTTTTTTGTGAAAATCTCTAAATCTTTTTTAAAATTTGTCCCTCTTTTGTTTACCAGATTTTTTTAAATTAAAATATAATTTTTTTTTCTAAAAAAATTTAAATTACTTTTTTTGCGTCTCAACTCCCCCTTAAAACTCTAGGAAAACTACAAAATTTTGTCATCCTTCGACCAAGTTTTTTATCCCCCGGTTTACCCTCCACTCAGGGTTTTTCACTCTACGACAGTCTTTCAAAGTGTCCAAAAAAAACGTTTCCCGGGGGAACCCTCTTTTTCTTTGGGGGGTAAAAAAATTTGTGGCCTTGTTCGACCTCAATAACGACGGAAAAAGATCGTTTTACCCTTGAGTTCGAGCCCTTCCTAAACCCCAGAAATTCCCGGAAAGTTGAGAAAGAAGTTCACTCTATTCGGTAATTTGAGGTTTTTTCCTTGGGGTTTTTTGACTTTTTCTTGCCCCTTTTTTAAAAAGTTTGTTTTTCGTTTTATATTTGTCTTTTTAAAAGGATAGGGGGGATATTCCCCGGACAAAAAATTAAAATTTCCATAGACTAATCGTGTCTCCTCGTAAATCCATGTCTTATCTGCCCAAATATGTTTAACCTAAAAATAATCCTTGTTTTTTTTTCAGATACGTAAAAAAACCAAGCTATGGGGGGGGGGAAAAAAAAAAAGGGCCCCCCCGACCCCCGGACAACTCCCCGGGGGGGGACGGCAAAGCACCAGATAAAAAACCTCTTTTTAAGTAACAAATCTTTCTTTGGGTATTTTCACGATTGTTCGGGTTTAAATTTAAACCCGGGGTTTAATACGTTTATATCACTTAAAACGGGGAACAAGTGGAATACTTTAAGACGTACTTTTTTGAAATTCCCCAATTTTAAAATTTTAAAAAAGAAAAAAAAAATTTTAGGTTTTTTTTCATTTTTTAAAGGTTCGGTGGGGGGAATGGAGAACTCGGAGTCGCTGTATAAGAGCACATTTGGGGGAAGTTACAAAAGCTGGAAACCCCCCCCTTTTAAAGTACCCTAAACCTCCCCCCCCATCAAAAAGGGTATGTGATTTTTCCAACCCCAAATTCATTAATTTTAAGTAACCAATTTTTTACCCCAGCGTTTTCGACTTAATTTAAAAAAATCGACTATGTGAATATTAATTTTTTTTGACTTTTTTACTTAAAAACTATCGACCTGTAATTTTCGACTTTAGATTTTAAAATTTATGACTAGTAACATTTAAAACTTTTATTAACATATTAAACTATTTTGACATAAATTGCTTGTAAACATTTTAAAAACTTTTTTAAAAATTTTTAAACCATTTTACCAGATGTTGCCTTTTAAAAAACGGAGCACAGAGGACGCTAACCAGTATTTACAGAGAGAGGCCCTCACTGGTAAATTTCCCCACACTTCCGAAAAAATTGGCGGGACGGGGCGCATCCCTTACGGCTAAACAAGAGCTTGCATGAAAAACCCAGCTTTGCTTTTTTGGGGAATGATAGTGAGGTGTCCAAGGGGGGGAATTTAAATTGTTTATGTTTTGGGGAACGTAACGTGATTGGTTTTTTGGGGGGGGCCCGTCGCGGGTTTATGGTGGGGGACGCCCCACGGCGGTTAAAAATTGGGGGGCCCTACCCCGGAAATTTTAAGGCACTGTTTTTTTACCTTTTAAAACCCCACTGTAAAAACGTCCCCATTTTTACTTTGATAAAAATTAAAAAAATTAAGATTTTACCTAAAAAAACAAAATTTCCCCAAAACTTTAATTAAATTTTTTAACTGATTAAATAATTAGTTTAATTTAAATTTAACCCCAACTACAGGTTCCCAACCCATGCAGAGTCTTACTCTTACCCTCCGTCCCCCAAAACCTAAGAACGCTTCCCATGTAAACGAGCTGGGGGGTTTTCGAGTCACAGGGAAAACCTTTTAAGAATGAAAGCTTTTTCCTGACCTAACTGGGGGGACATGAAAAATTTATGTCGTTTTTAATTAAATGTAAACATTGATTGTATATTTATCGAAAAATTTTTATTATTTCTGAGATTATTTGTTTAAAAATGTAAAACAAATTAAAATACAGGATGCCATAACTTCGATTCCGCGAGTAAAAAAAACCCCCCCCCCCCCCATCCCCCCCCCCCCCCCAACCCCCAACCCCCCCCCCCCCCCCCCCAACCAACCCTCCCCCCAACCAAAACCCCCCCCCCCCCCCCACCAACCCCCACCCCCCCGGAAATTAAACTAAACGAAGCCCCCCACCCCCGGGTTTTCCCCTTTTGGGTTTCGGAACCAAAACGGTTTGCTTTTTAAAAACCCCCAAATTCCCTTTTGCTCAGAACGAGTTTTCATTCAAAACAAAAAAAAATAAAACGAAAGGAAAAAATTAATTAATAAGTTAATTAGTAAATTTAATTAATCTTTTCTTTTAAACTATGTTTTGAATAAAAAAATTCGATTGGGGGCCGGCTTTTGGTCACCGATCATAGAGGTTTTTAAAAAATCGCCCCCTTTTGGCCCCATTCCCGGTCGAACCGAACCCGAATACCGAATTTTGGCCCCCGAACTATTTTGGTTTTGACCATTGTTAAGATTGGCCCGGCGCGCGCTACTTCGTAGCTCGTGCCGTCGGGCCATTAACAGTAACATTTCGAGAAGAAAGCGGCGCGCGCTACTTCGAAGAAATTTAGACGAGTAACATATCCGTCAAACTATTTGGTAACCCTACTTAATGTTCAGGTACGTGTTAACGATGAGAAGAGCAGTCATTTGAAGTTTGGTAATGACGCTAACATTGGAGAGGTGTTCAGAAATGGTACGTAAAATCATAGTATCATATTTAGTATAAGATATATCTTACAGTTATTATAGTATATCTTATTGTATAGATATATCTTACAGTTATTATAGTATATCTTATTGTATAGATATATCTTATTGTATAGATATATTCTTATTGTATATAGATATATTCTTATTGTATAGATATATCTTATTGTATAGATATATCTTATTGTTTTAGATATTATCTTATTGTATAGATATATTCTTGTATTAGATATATCTTATTGTATAGATATATCTTATTGTATAGTATATCTTATTGTATAGATATATCTTATTGTATCAGATATTATCTTATTGTATAGATATATCTTATTGTATAGATATATCTTATTGTTGCGATTTTATGTACAGAGTCCGAGAAATACCTTGGTGGTTAATTTTACAGTCACTGTCAATTGAATCGTTCCTTATGACAGCAGTAAATGAAATAAATACGTTTCCCTAAATCTTCTCATGTAAAATGTTGATAAATTTACTATCTAGAGGCACAATTTAATACATCATCTAACTTCTCGGTTTACAAGCTAGCTGTCGATAAATATATTGGGACACGTGACAGCTATTCAAACCAATCAGCTTTCCAGGCAGGGGACCAATCTGACCAACCTCATACCCCGGTAACTATCAAGATTCACATTGTCATTAAAAATTTGTTTCTGATGACTAGTAAAAATTGCTCAACAAATGATTAACATTATTTATCTTCAATTAGAACATATGTCATCACTGAGTCCACCATTCAGATAAAATCTGTAATTTTCTTTAGAGAATCATCAAATACACTACACAACTTAATCAGATCAAATACGATTCATCTCCCCACCATCATCCACATTTATTGATAACTTTATAACGAGGTAAATAACTCAATCACGTAATTAGCTAAAAAAAAAAAATAGTTCGCCCCAGGGCAGTTCAGTTCACGACCCCCCAAAGTAAACCCTGGACACCCCGCGGCTGGTATAGCAGGTGGTCCGATAGCAGAACACAAAGCACATCCACACCATAGTAGCACCAGACAGCTCTCAGCGATCCCAGTGTCAAGAGTTTGCAGGACCTTCTATTAAAACAGACTATTTTAGAGGTTTGAGTGGTTTTTATTTAGTGTAATATTCAGAGATACAGATGGGCATTTGGTTTCGGTTTTTTTAAATGAGTTATATCGTCATCATTTCTGAGTTGAACAACTATCCGGTATCCTTTGCAAATATTGACCAATGTTTAACTAAAAGTGATTTGTTAATAAGCTTATGAACTTTCAGCTAATGTTATAACCCCGTGACCCTATGAACATCAACCTACAAAAAGCATTCAAAGAATTTGACAAGAACAAACACCGGAAAAATAACTGTCACCGGTAAGATGAAATTAGATACTAAGCAAAACATTTAAATACTACGAAGAACGGTCGTTATACGGTCGTTATACGGTCGTAATGCGGTCGTTATACGGTCGTTATCGGTCGTTATACGGTTGTTATCGGTCGTTATACGGTCGTTATACGATCGTTATACGGTCGTTATACGGTCGTTATACGGTCGTTATACGGTCGTTATACGGTCGTTATACGGTCGTTATACGGTCGTTATACGGTTGTTATACGGTCGTAATGCGGTCGTTATACGGTCGTTATACGGTCGTTATACGGTTGTTATACGGTCGTTATACGGTCGTTATACGATCGTTATACGGTCGTTATACGGTCGTTATACGGTCGTTATACGGTCGTTATACGGTCGTTATACGGTCGTTATACGGTTGTTATCGGTCGTTATACGGTCGTTATACGGTCGTTATACGGTCGTTATACGGTCGTTATACGGTCGTTATACGGTCGTTATACGGTCGTTATACGGTCGTTATACACGAATTGTTCCAATGCACCAATGCCCAATAAGATGTAGAGGGTTATAATTTATATACTGCGAGTTTAATGTTTTAATTAAACTATGGCCGATTTAAGTCTGTAGCTGCCTGTAGTGCCTTGCTGGACTTCATATTGCATAACACTAACACTACTTTTATGTATTGTGCAGGACTAAGGGAGGGCATGTAAAAGATTGAACTACCAGTGGACGATGCTACTCTTAGAAGATACTTCATCTGGTACGATACTACTCAGAGTGTACAACTTAATATCACACGTTTTCATTTTACAATGACTGGTTGTAAACCTAGCATAAAATCTTAATTAATTAAATCTTAATTAATTAAATCTTAATTAATTAAATCCCCTTTTTACAGTTTAGACAAAAACAAGGACGGTTCTATTGATTACAACGAGTTTGCAGATGAGTTGGGTGTGCATATTCAACATGTCAGCTCCAAAGGAATGACAACGGTCATGAAGAGCAGTTATACTCCAATTAATGAGAGGTCCGTTTTAACATTTTTTAAAACCTTTGTAAACTTTTCAAACATTTTTGTTTATAGTTAAAAAACTCAGTTCTGAGTTCTGGCTCTTTGGTTACTCGTTTAATTTAGGTAGTTGAATTTGCTTATCTTTTGATTTAAGACTACTTTTTTAGTGATCGTTTTTTATGGATTAAATAACAGCCATATCATGGTTGATAGTTCTACAAGTAACTCTTATGTTGATAAACTACAATTTACTTGCCTCTAAAAGTAAAATTAAAAATTAAAAAAGAATTTATATGGCAGGAGTCAGGAGATGGAAGTAAAGATTGACAAACAGAAATCCAACTTCTCATTTATTTCCACATGAACAACACTTCTGGTAAACATTTGTCGAGGATTTAACCAACTTCAAAACACTATTAATGACCTTCAAGTGGCTTTCATCTTTTGTAGTTTTCTTAGAACATTATAATTTTATACCCCAATTTCGCATCTACTTTCCCTTTCTAAACTAAACTGCCCCTGATATTCGTGTTCCAATACTGTGATTCTACCACGTTTATAATTGTTAAATTTCATGAACTACCTGGTACCACAACCCAGAACGACTTTTCCACCCTGATCGAAACGATGGACATTCCAGGCATACCAAGACCGAGTATCTACATAGTCGGCGCCTGGGAATGTTGAGAGAATTTGAACAATGTTCATTTATTCAAATAACTTTCAACCTTGTCAGAATTAGTGAAAAAAAATCTTGAGCTTTTCGACAATCGAAAAAACTGCTGAGTTTGTGAATAATGAATGTTCAGCTATTATTTATCGGCGATCTTTAAAATTGAGTTGGGACATTTCGAAGCTAGACTTAGAGCGTAAACTTATTAGTTCTTCTACTTCGTGCATTCTTACATGAAAAGTCATTTCTTCGTGAAGAGCCACAAAATTTGAAAATTTGTTACAAGTACAACTATTAACCGATTAACGTCATTATGAAAAGTATGTACATTGTGAACATTATTGTGATTATGTACATCAATATTAAATTTTAGCACCGAAAAATTGTGTTTTAATATATTTTCGAGATTAAAGTTTTACCAAACGAAGAATTTTTTCTACAAAAAACGGATGATTTTTATTATTTTTATCAATTGTAAAATCCCAAAACCAAGGCTAA